GTGTGCTTCATTTCTTGCTGCCTACGGATAATGAACGTAGACTACTTGCGTCGGTGGAAATGGAAGATCATGAAGATGAGAGGTTCTAGATGAGAATGGTTAGGTTAGAGAAGTCGGGTGAGCATTAATTTTCAGGCTTCTTATAATGCAAAGTATGTTGACGCTGATTCTACTAGTTCCAGAATCGTGAGACCACATCTCTAGCGCTCAACGATCATCCCTTTCAAGGGTCATCTACACTTTGCATCAAGACTCATAATCGATCACCAATGCTAAGCTTCCAGGTTTCGTGTTCTCTACCTATCGTATCGGACTACGGCCATCTTTTTCTCGGAAACTCCCTACACCAGGGTATGGAGGAAGCAACAAGAGCGGACAAGCGGCTTGACAACCAGTCGGCAGCTCTGCGCAGAGGTCATCAAGATTTCACTGAGCTTTGCAACACCACGCCGCTTGGTCCAAGGCCAGCTGGAGCACAACTCTTGGCTTTTGAAAGGAGTAAGGCCCAATGTTATTCAGACCCAAACTGAAACAACTCACCATCATACAATAGATTCTCCATTCTCATCACCACTAGGCGACGCCTTCATAATATCTGACATCGAGGACTTCGATCAGAGAGATGTCACTGTCAATGAGACCCACAATTTGTACACTGACGCGGCAAAGAGAAGATTTCGCCCAGAAACCAAGTTCGTCAATAATTCATTATGAAGTAAGTCTACCGCCGGCACGTAACCATCTCAAAGCTGAAATGTGCTAATTGAGCGAGTAATGCGACCGAAATGTCAAGAAGAAGCAGGCTAGCAGGCACCGATCGACAACTCGAAGGATGGGCTGCCTATTTCCGAACGGCGCGCAGAGAAGACTGACGTAATCTCATCTTACAGCAGTGGCGATCGCAAGTCAGCAATCCATGATAAGGAACGTAAGTGAGACATCTTGCCAGGATTATCTCCATCTTCATCGAACCTTCTGCAGCTATGATATGCAAAATCCAACTACATTTTTGCTAGCCCACCTCTTTTCAATCATTGTGGTGTCACATTCCTTGTGGATCCGTGTTGACAGTGTTGCTAGACACTCTGGCCCAGACCCGCCAATGCGTGGAGCAACTTTGCAAAACCAGGTGATCCGGCAAGCCGTCAGCGAAGCCGTGCTGAACGCGAAAGGCAAGTCAGGGTCTAATCGACAGTCTCTCTCTCCAAGTAGAATGCTGGCTCCGATGCTGAGACTTTCAGCACCACTTCATCACGAAGCATATTTCTTACACCTGAGCAATTCGCAATGGGCAAGCGCGTCCACCCAACTCCAGGCAGGAATCCCAAATGCTCCGAAGCTCGCCTACAGAATCAATCACGACGTGTATCATTTGACATTTGCCATTCGTGACCGGCAGTTTGCTATACTAATGAGCAGACGCCTTCCCGCCAATTTGTTACTGCCTTCCGAGGTATGAATTTGAGATCTCAGGAGACGACTTTATGGGCTTGGAAAATGTTTTGCTTCTACGGTCATCTACAACTTCGACTCCGAAGACGGCCTACCTGTCAGCTCTTTCGACGATGAAGACATTGTGAATACCATTACCCATTTTGACATAACTCCTCATCCTGGAGACTCACTTGATGCAACAAAGAAGGCTATTCTGAAGAAGTCTGACATATCTATATTTCATCTTCGTAAAATGAGAAGAAAGGACAGAGGCAGTATAGCGAGCGAAAAGTGAAGGCTAATTTATCGAACACGATACTGAAAGTTCGAGAGATGGACTTTACTACAGATCGTGTGCTGTTGGGTCGGGATCTCGACACGATGGAGAAGGTGCGTTGCGGTTCATCCTAATTTATACATCGCCGACAACGCGTCATTGCCAACCTCTTTCGTTGCCACTCAGATCGGTGTTCAAAAGGAATTGGTTGGAGAGTTTATTTATTTAAGCTTTCTCCGTATTTGTTCTCAATTGCTTTAGTATCAACCCGGCTAAAGGTTCTTTTCCTTGCCCGTTGTCCTGCTGTTGATACATTCTTTCAATTGATACGCTACAAATCTGATACTTTTACCTTCCACGCCATCTTCCATCGATTGGATTGAGGGCGAAAGACGTTTCCAAGTTCAACTAATTTCACACACGGATCAAATTTCCCCAGCACTCAACATCAACATTGCCCCAGATGCCAAATGATAGGACCGCTCAGACCTACCAAAGGATTGTTGCCGGTAGTGAGTCTACAAGTCGCAGATGTACTTGCATTCGATTACATTGGCCCATTCACCCCGATCGCAAAATCTGGAGCCCGATTGCCCTATCGCTTCTCTTCTTCCTTCTTCAATCTTCGCTCCTCTGTCGACAAGATCTTTTCGAACTCGAAACTCTGCACCACATCTTCGTACGACAGCGTACATCACCATATGATCATCATCAGTGCTTCCAGCAACTTCTCACTTTTGGAAATCTCACTGCACCTCACCCAACCCACTTTGTTCTTGCCTTGCGAGCCTGCAAATATCTCACCAAAGCTCGCAACAGCTTCTCACTACCTTTTACGAGCATTACCATGGCAACCCAAACTCAAACTCTTGGATGAAGGGTCTAATCATGAGTTGTTCATCTCAACCACATTATTTCCCCAGGCTCGGCAAGGGACGTGCACAGCCTGTTAAAGCATTGGACTTTCGAAAAGGGCTGTTGATCGGTAAGCAGCTGCACCTTGGTGGAATCTTTGGCGATTTCTCATAGTTTCACTACAAAAGAAGTACGCAAAGTCCAAAGACGCATTTGTCGGACCAAAGCATAGACCTCTCTAGACCCTAAGATCGGCAAGTCAAAGATGAGCCCGAAGTACGGCGATGAGTTCATTACTGGTCAAGCTCAGCTGCGTTGTTAAAGGAAGAACAACCGCTTTGCCTCTTACACTTGCCAACCCTTTGTCGACAGATCAAGAGAGAATCTCCGAACATAATCATCGGGCAAGACAAGTCAACCTACTGTAAGCCTCCCGCACCTCTGAGAATGTCTAGACGCTGGAAGACGCAGGAATAGATAACGACACCATCGGATTTGTTGAGGAGCGCCAAAGGCAAAACGCACAAGCCTATTCCCGTCTGACAGATCAACAAGTCCCAGAATGAGAAGCCCGATCCAAAGTGGATGACGTGTTCAATGGACGTATCCAAGGTCTGTTGTACGAGAACGCAGGGGACATGACCAAGGTTCAGAAGACGTGTTCCCAGGGCCGCGAAGTGATGGAAGCGAAACAACAAGAGGTCGTTTAGGGTTAGGGTAGGAAAATACTCCTGTTCGAATGGAGAAGACTCAGTTGGAGATACGAACCAGCATCGAGGCTGAACACAAGGCGCTGGTTCTTTCGCGTCCTGGTGTGTGAGGGTGCTTCTTGTGTGTTAGAGCTGCGGCCCATGTGTTTCAATACATCGCTTCGCTGTATGGCTTCGGCCACAACCATTGTTGTGTGGTCGCGGTGTACCTTCGGGCAGATTTACAAAATTTTGCTCGTTGCTGTCCTTCGGGCTTTGTTCAACATTTTGGCCTTCAGACCCTCTTTTGACATGTGCCTACGATGTACTAGTACTTGGTCTTCTTGATTTAACATATAGTCGAGGGAGCCAAGAACAGTAATATCTGCGAAGATGTCTTTGACATCGTCACTTTCGATTTTGCTCGATACGACTTCTACATTTCTAGAATTACAATGGAACCACGGCATGTACAACCATAATTGACATGTCTCTCGAAAAGCAACGATCTGACTACTCCATCTTGTAGAAGCTCTACAACAATACAACGATGCCTAAGAAAACAAGTCTCTTTCTCTGGGACAGAATGCAAATCCGCTGGACAAGCCACGTTCTCGCAAGACGATGACGCGAATGAGCCTGCCTCGGTAAAGGAAGGCTACCTTCATGAACAGTGTGTGCCCATTTTTGTGGGTGTGCAGCTACATTCACTCTTCTCCCTCTGCAGCGAGTGAGTAGAGAATGGTGTCAACTTGAGAGAACCCGAACGTATACAGCACGGCTTCGCAAAACAGACGAGAGAGGCGAACATTTGGATTGCCGGACTGTAAGCAGTGCTTGGTGCTTTGAAACTTGGGTGGATGTTGCTGCGCGGTTGGTGGGACCACGGGGATGAGGAGAGGAGAAGGGATAGGGTGGATACAGAAGACGAGGCCAGAAGAACTGCTGCTACGAAGCAGTTTACTGGTATTCCGAGTTATCATGGAATACAGACAAGATCGTAGAATGTTGTTGTGGCCAGATTTGAGGTAGTGATTGGTGATAGTAATGACGGAATACTCGAGACGTGCACGTTTCGTCTTCTCACAAGAGGGGAGAAATGAGAGGGTGTTAGTCTGGCAAGGTGGTCACTAGAGCTACACAGTTGATCAACGTATTATAGGTTCTAGGGAATCAAAGCAGCGGAGACCAGTGATATCAAATATAGGAGCGCAATAGAACGGATTAGCGATTTGCTCGAAAACGGTACGTTACCAAGCTTCTTCCTACAAAAGTGCATGTGGGTCCCTAGCAATTCTTACAAATTCAGCTATCGCTCGTAGCAGCTCGTACCACAGCCACAGCCAAAGACCAGATGACTGGAGGTATTTCTTCAATGAAAGCATGAATGCACTTGCAATACTTGGAAAATGGTACGCGAATAAAAATCCAAAACCTCTTTCTCTGCTTGCTCAAAAATTAACAGCCCTCCTTTCTATTGATTCAGTTCGTTGATCACTGTCGATCACCGACTTACCCTCTGAGCGTCAGAAATGCAATGGTCAGGGAACGGGTATTCCGCCTAGGTTGATATGCTGCAGGAACGTACACACAAATATCTCTAATGCCCTTCTTCCGGACAGAATGCAAACTACCAATAATATCTATCTTTGCACTGCACGCTGAAGGTAACATCTGCAAACATTTGCAACAGTAGGTGTCTTGTAACTCTCAGGTTTCATCCTGGAGCACAAGCTCCCCCAGTGTCAAAGGTTGATAGATATCGTCGAGGCTCCCAAGGATGTGCCGGTCAAGACGCTCGCATTGCTGAGCAAGCTATATTGGCTTGAAGAAGAACCGTTGCTAGGCAGGCCGAGCTGGTTTGGCTGAGTATTGGGTAAGACAGGGATTCCGCTGCTCATATACGTATTCATGGTGAGTATGTTCCAATTTGAATCGCTGCTGTACATATACATAGCCGCACCAAGCTGTCCACCGGGTACTGATTGTCACAAGGATGTTAGCCAGCCTATCAGGTCCTTAATGCTGGCATCGACACAATGACCATTTGAGGTATGACGGAAATAGGTGACGTACAGTTGAGTGGGACGTATCCACCCTTCGCTTGACCTCCGGCAAAGCAGGCACTCAATTGCGCAGCCTGGTCTACGAAATTCCTCCACGTCGTAGGGAATAGAGGTGCAACCACTCCGGGCTGGGCGGGCCGACCTTCGCTCATGGTGGCGATACGGCAGGAGTCTACAAAGGGGTTCAAAGTTCAGCGACAGCCCCTCCCCTCTCTTCACACGTAGCGGACAGAACTGAGGAGTCTCCCCGGCACGTCGAAGACTTACTGTGCTTCCATATCTTAGGCAATTGCACGATCGCCCTTGGACGATAAATGTTGCTAACACCCCCGAATTGTGGATCCATATATTGTGGCTCCGCAAAGATGTAAGTATGCTGTGAGTGGGGGTCCGAACGAGGCAGAGCCGCGAACGGGGTTCTGCGTAAGGCTTGGGCACAGTCTTGAGAGTTTGGTTTACCGTAGACGTCGCTATTACAGGCGACTGAATTGACAAGAGTATAGTGGAGGAAGAATAGGCATATGATGGCGCAGTTGAAACAAGGCAGAACGGCCATTTTGGGCGTTACGATGAAAGAAACAGGGTTGCTGGCAAGCACAGTTGAGATCATGGGCAAATTTCGGATAGAACGGACGGTTCGGTCCTTGTCTAGGATTTGGCTTAGAGAGATGATGCGTTTCCAGATCTGTCTGGTGGAAAGTCATCGGCGGATGCGCGTCGGCTCAGCGCGAGCGATCACCAAGATTAGTGTCCTAGTTACAGAGGTGCCGCGGAGCTTGTGCATACTTGCGACCAAATCCAAATCCACTCTGCTGCTCTGTGGACGTTCAAATGTCCGGGTGGCGCAGTGCGCGTCGAAATACTAGAACTAGAAATTCATGTACCTCATCAAATTTTCCTCTCATCAAACGAAAATACCGGCTCGATCAATGCATTTCCATCCATGGTCCCCATTGCATCACCACTTTTCCTGCTTCTGCCTGCTCATAGCTCAAACATTCTTTGTAGATGGCAGGGTTTACTGCAGTGCTAGGTTTTACGGAAGCCCTGACTCTGTGGACTGTTCGGCCGCTCTGCTGAACCTGCCTGGGGATACTGCTGATCGGTGGTTCCTTGAGCAACAGCTTCGCACAGCATTGCCGACGGCAGATTGGCGGTCTTTTGTGGATGGTCGGCCTCCTGCACTTTGACAACCCGTTGTACAGTTACAGAAGTGGTGGTCTCATAGTCAGTCCAGCTTCCTGTATCTATATCCAAGCTGCTGATGTCGTTGAGCAGGGACCTGCAATATTGCGCTCGTGATGTATGGACATTTACATCTCGTCGTCCCCGTGGCTTTCCTCAAATGGTCGGACATCAGAAACCTTGGGTATCAAGTGGCTTGAAATTGCGTAGAGAACAAGCAGCAGGGTGGAGCAGGAGAGATATTCAATATGTGATAGGACCTTCTCTCCCATTCTGGATGCCTTTTACGCTGCTCGCACGTTGTCGCGAGTACAAGGTAGCTAATGCCCGGCTGTCCCCGTAGATAGCGAAGGCAGAGAGGTGATGTCGCTTGTAATATGGCGTGATGGTGCTCCTTTCGACAAATTCATGAGCTACTATATGAGAACTCAATTTCCAAAGGGTTTAGATCCTTCGCATATGTCCTTCTTGCTAGGCAACGCTTCTCTGGTATTTGGGCTTGAGATGACGAATGCGACTTTAGGAGTGACGGATGTGGCAATTGGAAATGGCGGGTCTGAGGAGGATGTAGCAACTGCTTGATTGGGTACGGAAGTAAGTTTCTGGAGAGCAAAAACGGAAAACGGCAAAGAAAGAGAAGCACGATGCGGCCATGGTTGGGAAGCTTTAGAACATCCTCTCCCAGGCGGCTTGTTCGTGCTCATCGCTAGCAGGTTGATAAGCTGCCAAAGACTGAGGCGCGCTTCGTTGTGTTCTCGGTCACCGTCTAGCATCCTGAGGGGTTGGGAGTTCCTCTTAGGCATGTCGAGGAAACATTCTACTCTAACACGGCTTTGAGACGCGATTTGCTGGCTGCGTTTGTGACTTGGTGGGTGAATTAGCACCGTGCACAATCATTGTATACAGACACTCAACAGACAATGTAGTGATAAAGTATTGAGACTTGTTGATAGGTTCGATTGAGAATTTTCTTCTCTTTCCGAGGCCAATTCTCCGAGCTCGGCCTCGGAGATAAGATTAAGAGTACTCGTACTCGTATGAATAGCCGATAAGGCTGACAAATCCTTCGCAGGCTGCAACTCTCGTAGTCCCTCATCGATACAAATTCTCATGGATATACATATAAGATTAAGGACAAAAACTTATGAAACCCAGCTGATTCGTGGTCATCATGAGCCCTTTGTTCCATCTTTGTCACACATCTAACTCTCTATGAGTCCAAGGCTTGGTACCTCGCAGTCTGACTTATTGTCCTCGGTACTCACAGAACCCTTTCTATCACTTAGCGAATATTTCTTACTCTGCAAAGTCTGTAAACACAATGGCCAGTCGAAGGCCTAATGATGGCTTCATGATGGCTGCCGTAGTGTACGAAGTAGGAGGACCGGAGGTCTTTAAAGTAGAGAGGCGTCAAATCCCAAAACCCGTAGGTCACTAAAGAAATTGCGGTATGCGGCTGATGATGCTGATCGTTTGTAGGAGAAAGGCCAGGTGCTAATCCGCATCAAAGCCTTCGGCCTCAACCGCTCGGAAATGTTCACTCGGCAAGGTCACTCACCTACAGTCAAATTCCCACGAATCCTAGGAATCGAGGCAGCTGGTGTCATCGAGGAGGCCCCAGGAAATGAAGACAAGTTCAAAGAAGGCGATGTAGTTGCAACAGCTATGGGAGGTATGGGTCGAGAATTCGATGGCGGATACGCAGAGTACACTGTTGTGCCCGCATCGCAGGTCCAGGTCGTCAAATCCGCAGAGAAAATCTCTTGGGAGATGCTTGGTGCATTGCCTGAAATGATGCAGACGACATGGGGCGCGTTATTCAAGGCCCTCAGGCTCCAGAAGAACGACCGCTTGCTGATCCGGGGAGGGACTACATCCGTGGGGCTGGCTGCCGCTGCCATTGCGAAGTCTCAGGGCGCGTTCGTCGCTGCTACCACTCGAAAACCAGAGCGCGAGCAATTACTGCGTGCCAATGGTGCCGAGCAGGTATTCGTCGACAACGGTTCTGTCGCGGACCAGATTGAACAAACTGAAGGGTTTAACAAGGTGCTGGAGATGGTAGGCGTCACTACCTTGAGGGACTCGCTCCAGTGCGTTGAGGAAGGCGGGACAGTGTGTATGGTGGGCTCAGTCAGCGGGAAATGGGCCTTTGATGATGAGTTCAGTCCTATGGTATCGATTCCGACGGCGGTCAGTCTTACCGCTTACCATAGTAGTGCGAAGGCTTTGATCGAGACCCCGCTGGACGAGATCGTCACTCAGCTTGGGACCGAGAGAATCAAGGCCCTCATTGGAAAGGTTTTCGTCGGCCTCGACAAGGTCAACGAGGCGCACAGGTGTATGGACGAGGATAGAGCAGGAGGCAAGATTGTCATACTTATTGACGACGAGTTAACTAGTAAACCCTGGCGAACAGGGGGGCGTAGTCTTGCAGACAACATCTACTCTGATCAAAGCGCACCCCATATCTACTAATGTCACCGAGCCCATATTCAGTGGCAAGCCCTGTTCCTTTGCTTTTTCATTAGATCACCTGTCATGGACGGACTAAGATCATCGTAAGCCTACAAAGACACGACACCTCGTCAAGAAAAGGGGCATACTTCGGCGTTGATTTGACTCGTCTTATGGGGGAGGCTGGGCCAGTAGATGAACACTTCTGTTGCTAGATCTATCATTGAACGTTGACATTCACTGTATCTTAAGGTTGTACATCATAAAGTACCACTTTCTCTCATTGTTACATGCCACTGTTGCTAGGCAGAGGCTCTTTCCGATTTCGCAAGGCTTGGCAGGCAGATTTTGCCGGCAAACATGAGTCATACTGCTTTTCAACTTTGACAACCTTAGCCTTGAATTCTCATCTTCTCCTTGAACGAAAGCATAGTGCGTATGCCCCTAAATTTGCATAATATACATCAATAGCATCATATTATCTCCTGCTCATCACTGTTTGACAGAAATTAAGGGATAAATCGCGCCACATCGAGTAGCGCGAAGGCCATCTCCTTAAGACCAGAGCTCTTTCCATCCAGCACAATTGTGCTCTCGATCTACGACTCGAGCAGCTTCGACAGCTAAGATCTCACCAAGATGGGCGGACACGCATTTCGCTCAGGGCCCAATCCGCTGAATGTTGTCCGTTTGCCAACAGAGCAGTATATCATGCTGCGAGATCACTATCAAACGTTCGCTAGCTCCCACCTTGCTATCCAATCATGATTTGCTAATTTTTCGACAGTATAGTTATGAAGTTCTACACCCGTGCCGTTGTACCCTCAGAAGCCCCAGGAAAAGGCGACCATGGCGACATAGACGTTCTAGTCGATGAGCCTTTGTTCAACTTCACTGGTCAGGATCTTGAGCGGGCACTAGGGGCTGCCGCGCACACAAAAGCTGGGCGTACTAGCTCTTTTGCCATCCGAATACCAGAAGACAGTGACAATTTCTTCCAGCTCGATGTCTATCTCTGCAAGAAGGGGTGTTTTGAGTGGGAGAGTGTCGTTCATGCATACGGCGACATTTGGCATATTATTGGGTCCACGGTGACTCGCTTTGGGCTGGCGATTAATGACTCTGGCCTGCACGCTCGTGTTCAGACCGAAGGAACGAACAAGAAAGACTGCCTATTGCTTCTGACAAACTACCCTGAAGAGATGATGAAGTTCTTAGGCTTGGATGGCCCTCGATATGACAATGGATTCTCTACTCTGAATGAGCTCTTTGAGTGGGCTATCTCAATGCCCTTGTTCCGAAGCAAATTCTTTGACAAGGAGACTGTCAGTGGGAAACAAAGACGTATTAGAGAAAAGAGACCATTGTACTCGAAATTCGTGACGGAATGGCTGCCTCAGAGAATGACGTTACATGCGAGTACCGCACCCCCAGAAGGAGTTGAGTGTTGTGATGCTCGAGCAAAAGTTCCTATATCAGCTGATGCCTCCACCTCGGCAACTGCGCATATTCGAAGCGACAAGCCTGCAGAAGAAGTAAATACAGGAATCTCTCCGACTGATCAAAGGAAAGACGTCCTCAATAAAGCGCTGCTAGGATTCAACAAGCATGAAGAGTACCAGCAAATGCTGGAAGATCATAGGAGGAGGACCTGGAGAGGCGTGTTGTGGAAAGAGGTTGAGAGAGTACTTCCGCTACAGGGCGAAGAGCTTGGCCAAGCGATGATGGCGCTCAAAGCCTTGTTGTGGTGGAACGATGGCCAGCCGCGACTCAGGGTGGAGGCGGATCAGTCGCTGGAAAGGGGTTCGGCCCTGGATGCTGACACGGTGAATAAGATTTTGGTCCCGTGGATCAAAGAGAACTGGAAAGAAGCGGTGAGATTGAACGAGAGACTTGCATGTTAATGCTTACGAGGCTTATACGGACGGCCGTCCCAAAGACAAGTCAGCTCTCCAATTCCGCACGGAAGCCAAGATGAGACGGGAAGGGCCGAGGCGACGTAATCATATGCTAACGCGGTCTGTTCCATTTATATCAGAGCAAGAGAGCGCCATTCGCGTCAAAAGAAAAAGAAAAAGAGAAATCTGGGCGCTGATCGTAGATCGAGCCAATTGCTCCGGTACTAGCCCTTGAGAACATTTTCAGATACTGTGAACCGAGAGTCCCGTAAACCTTTCCGGGGCAAACCTTTTCGTCGCCTCCTTGCCGCGCGAACATGGGTTCTGTGAGCAGGGATCTCCCGGTCCGGGAGAATGAGTTAAGCGATACGAGGAATGAGAATTTCGAAGCAGTGTTACTGGCCAAGATATACGCTTTTCATCGTGCCGAGGCTGTCCGACATTTAGCGTATTCAAAAACATCTGGAATGCTTGGCACCGGAGATCTTTCACACCACACACCCAAATTCGTACTGTAGCATAGAAATCTCTCCGCAAAATCATTCAAATCAAGTAGCCACATCGTAAATAGTCGCATTTAATCAATTTTGAAGCTATATAACCTCAGCTATACCTCCTAAACGCACCAATAACGCAGCAGCCACCGAACCGCCGCCGTCGCAGTAAGAACTACCCCCCCATAACTACTGAAATAGCCTCTGCTTAAGAAGCTCAGAAACAGATAAATGGGGGGCTGGTAGCAGCAGTCCCTACGGGTGCCCTGCGACGGCCCTACGGGGGCCCTACGAAGGCCCCGCGGGCCAAGTATTTAGGTCCAAATAGGGGTGTCTGACTGTCAAGCGCAGACACCCCCCGGGATCAGGCTTTTTTAGCTGAGTTGCTAACACTGAGGAACATATCAAGACTTCAGTATAGCTTCATCTTTTCATTTGGGATCTATACTAACGATAGCAGTGTTATTGAATAATTTTGCGGAGAGATTTCTATACTACAGTACGAATCTGGGTGTGTGGTGTGAAAGATCTCCGGTGCCAAGCATTCCAGATGTTTTTGAATACGCTAAATTGTCCAAGCCGAGTCGCAGAGACCCTCACCATCATATTTAAGAAACTGTACTCTACTAGAAGGATTATGCAATATGTTCTAATGCCAAGCGAAGACAAGCGACAATAATTGCAGGGGGAGCAAAATCCCTCTGCAACTCGCAGCAACAGAATCCTCTGGTGAAATCTTTCCCCGCCGCGAGCTAATTCACGGACGAATCTAGAAGCAGACTATCTTCCGAGCCGGTGTCAAGGAGCATTGAGTTTGGAAGCTTGATGCATCGTAGCTTCTAACACTGTTTCGAATTCGGAACAGAGGCTCTCTTTACTGAATTGATTTTTTCCTCGGTCACCGCGAGCGTCGACCACGGATTTGAAAGTGATTTGCACTAGGCGTCCAGGATCGGAGGAAACGGGCCAAGAAAGGAAGGTGGGCATGAATGAATTCCGGCGCACCTTTGCTGATCCTTCCCGCGCTTACCTGCCAAGACTGGGGACGATGCAACACTCGACTTTTTTCTGATGTGCTCTATCTTATCTCCTGGCATTTGCCTATCGCTGCACTCTGGTCCAATCACTCGAGGATCCTCATGCATTAAAATCATGCACGCATAATACCGTCTGGTCTGGACTGCTTCTCGAAACAAAGAGGGGTCCTACTAGAGCCCCCCCCCCCACGGGTTCGGGAAGGATAACGGAGGGATGGATAGCCTATCGACTATCAAGATAGCTTCGCAGCTCCCAACAGCTATCGAATTACTGCTTACCCCGACCTGTGGCGAGTTTTGTGTGAGAAACCCTTGCTTCCTAATGGGCAGGTGATGTAGATGCAGCTACGGCCATCCGAAGAGATAACGCACCTCGCGAATACGATACGTCTCCTATCGCACATACTTAAATCAGAGACGATTCCCACGCGCAATTTCTTCCTTCTCTCAACCTTCGAGTTGGGCGGCCACAATGTCTTTCTTCACAAAGCGCTTTGGCAAGAACGCGAGCCCTGTTCGGTCTGAGGACCTGGGATCTGGCTCAAATGAAGATGTCAAAGAAAAGGACCCAGTCGCCATCAAAGCCAGTGGGGCCGATCTAACACCTGGTGACGAGCTGGAAACCGCTGCGCAACTCAAGGCGATCAAGAAGAAACACGAATGGGATCCCAATTTTGCGGAAGACCTCGTAGACAACATTGACGAGGCCACCCAACAACACGACATTGGCGGGGAAGTTCGATTGGTCGATGAGCTTATCGAGAATTCGCCGTACCCTGAAGTTCGCGGCGCAGTCCGAAATGTGAGTTCTCCTTGAACACTGCACATTTACGCATGCTGAACAGGGTTCGCAGTACGACGAGGATGTTCCTGTAAACACTGTCCGCGCTTGGGTACTCGGAATGCTCTTGACCACAATCGCCTCCGGCCTAAACGCGCTTTTCGCTTTGCGCCAGCCTGCCATCACCATCACTTCCTTGACGGTCCAGTTAGTCGCATATCCCCTCGGTGTGGCATGGTATCAAGCCATGCCCAAACGCAAATTTCGCCTTTTTGGGAAGTCATTCACTTTGAACAACGGGCCGTTCAACATGAAAGAGCATACCATCATCGTGGTCATGGCCAATGTCAATGTTGCGGGTAAGACACCTCTCGTGCGAAAGAGCGCAGCATCTGCGGCAGACGCTAATGTCTGCTAGGTGGTGTGGCATATGCCACGGATACCCTTACTGCACAAAGAGGATTTTATGGTCAGAACTTCGGATGGGGATTCAACATTCTACTATGTATAACGACTCAGATGATGGGATACGGCCTCGCAGGAATCTTTCGCAGGGTCTTGGTCTGGCCAGGTAAATCGATCCTGCTGCATCTCGCATGATCTATTCTAAAGGCATGCAGCTGCTATGATCTGGCCCACTACTTTGATCAACACTGCTTTGTTTTACAGTCTCCACGATAAGTCGGAGACCGACCCGGCCAAGTGCAACGGTTGGAGAATTTCCCGTTACAAATACTTCTTCATCGTCTTCACCTGTTCCTTCTGCTGGTACTGGTTCCCTGGCTTCATCGCGCCTTTCCTCAGCGTCTTTGCATTCGCGGTCTGGATTCGCCCCAATAACGTTGTGGTAAACCAGCTATTTGGCGGATGGACCGGAGTCTCGCTATTGCCAATCACTTTCGACTGGACTCAAATCACCGCATACGCCTATAGTCCTCTTATTCCACCGTGGCACGCGATATCCAATACGTTGATTGGTTGTGTCATATTCTGGTGGATCACTACAATTGGGGTCCATTATACGAATACCTGGTACGGTAATTACCTCCCGATGAGCGACTCTCAGGCATATGACAATACCGGAAACCTCTACAATGTCACCAACATCTTGACGCCGAATTACACTCTGGATTTGGATGCCTACAAGGCATACTCGCCGCTGTTTCTCTCTACCACTTTCGCCCTGACGTATGGTCTCTCTTTTGCAGCGATTGCGGCTGTAATTGTTCAGACCGCGCTGTTTCATGGTGGAGATCTGTGGAAGAGGGTGCGAAACATCCGGACCGATGATGAAGACGTGCATCTAAGGTAAGAACACTTCCCGAGTTTCCCCATCGCTTCATCGACCCAGGACCACGTGTTCGGGGCGGAGCAGTCCTGCAGCTTCCCATGGGGTCTACGGGTCGCCTTTTGAGGTCGGGTTGTGTTTATGAGAGGCGGTGCTGACTCCATGTTCTTCCAGAATGATGCGAAAATACAAAGATGTACCCCAGTGGTGGTACGCGGCGATGTTCATCATCATGATCGGTATATCTCTGGGGGTGTGCTTAGGATATCCAACCAATATGCACTGGTGGGCTTTTTTCATATCCATCATCATTTCCATCATCTGGTTCGTCCCCATCGGTCTCATTCAGGGCATGACAAGTATCCAACTTGGACTGAATGTCTTTACGTAAGTTCCGCAAACCTCTGAACCATCACCTAGAGCGCACCAGACTCATACATTTGCAGGGAGTTCATCACCGGATACATCCAGCCAGGCCGTCCAGTGGCCATGATGCTCTTTAAGACCTACGGCTACATCACAATGGCTCAAGGTCTCTATTTCACCCAAGACCTGAAACTAGGCCAGTACATGAAGATCCCATGGCGTTCCATGTTCATGGCGCAGACTATCGCTACCATCTGGGCTTGCATCGTTCAAGTCGCAGTCCTCGAATGGGCTCTTGGCGGCGCCATCGTAGATGTTTGCACCGAGCACCAGGTCAACAAGTTCAATTGCCCCAACGGTCGGGTCTTCTTCAATGCTTCCGTTATATGGGGTCTCATCGGCCCACAGCGCATCTTCTCCCCTGGATCCATCTACGCCAACCTCCAATGGTTCTGGATGGCCGGCGCGCTGGCACCAGTCCTCTTCTACGCCCTCGCTCGCGCCTTTCCCCGCGCTCCGTTCCGCTACCTCTCCGCTCCCCTCATCTTCGGCGGCAGTGGCGATATCCCACCGGCTACTCCTCTCAATTACCTCGCTTGGGGCATCGTGGGCTACGTCTTCAACAAACACATCAGGAACAAGTACAGAGGCTGGTGGATGCGCTTTAATTACATCACGTCCGCGGGTCTGGATACGGGTCTGGCTATTTGCACGATTGTCATCATCCTGACGGTCAATTTGACGAATACGTCTATGACGTCCTGGTGGGGGGTGAGCGTCGCGAACAACAATATGGATAATCTGGATACGGCGGTCAAGATTCCGAATCCGAACCCGACTGCTCCGGGGAGGTTCTTTGGACCGACGGTTTGGTAGGCGGTGTTTGGTTAGGGGTTGGAGGGGGGGGGCGTTGGGGCCAGGGTGAGGAGGGGTATTTGTAGGATAAGGGACGCGAGAGTCTGGTGTATGCTCAATGCTTGGATGCTTCGTAACGAATCTCCTTCAGGTAGTTCAAATTGTCATATTATTTTTCTCCGTCTGCGAGATGGTTCATGAGCTGTGCGTGCCTGCAACGCGCCACAACAAAATATGAATTCAGCCCTTCACTGTCACGTTGGCCGTGTATTAACATGACTCGCTTCGACGTTTTGAACTCGGCGGGAAAGTACAAGGTGGAGAACGTGTTTCGATTTGGTGCAGAATCTTATAACTAACGCCGTCTGCCTTCACTGACCGAGGCGGACTTCAGATACCCTGTCAAGGACAGGAGAACATCTGTCCGCTACGAGCTACAAACCCAGCCGTTCCGTATCACCGAGTGGCTCTTCATTCGATTTCATCTATTTCGGAGCCATAACGTTCTTTGTCGTCGGCGGCTTTCAGCGCTAGAGCATTCGTTTGTGGCCCAGCTTACAGGGCGTTCAGGCTGAGTCGCTACGATGGCGGTCTTTTACAAAGATTGATTGATTCAGATACAGGGACGCTACTCTTAGAGGTGGTGTGATCGTCAACCTGGGCATCGAGCGAGCTGGTACTGTTTCCCTTGTTTTCTTGTGCGGGTTTTAAGGGGTGATGAGGCCAGCGAGGACGGATGTTCAGGACTAGACGGACTTTCATACAAGGCATACGGTTAGCAGGGCACATGGTTAGAGGCACACGGCTGTCAGGGCACACTTGACCCACGGCCATCGCCTCTCAGGACATGATCTCTGGGCCTACGGCCATCGTGTTCGGCCGCAGAACACGCTGCCTACCGCATTCCAGAGGATATATTCCTAGCCCTACGGCTATCTCATTTTAGGATAGGAAATCTAGGCCCAATACCACCACGGCCGTCCCATTCGGCCGAAGACACTCGGCCCATCGCAAATTTGATTGGACAAAATTCGAGGCACATAGCCGACGGATTACCACTCAAACATACTCCGAGACACACTGTCATCGCATCACATCGGTATCAGTATGCATTGTACCTTTAGCGCTGATGCTGGCGATTCCAGCTAGGGACGTCTTCTTCGTTTTGGATGCTTGGGACTTTCGTGGCGCTGGGGTACGAATACATGTCTGTTGAGGTCTGTGTTTAGCTGCTATCCTCGGCGTCGAGATAGCCCATCGATTTGCTTGTATCCTCCATATGCTCTGTGTGCTAGTGTGATGCGTGTGAACGAGATCACTTACTTGCGCCCACACAGGCTCTCGATACGTATCTGCTTTTGATCTAGGGCGGCTGCGGGTGTCATTAGCTGATTCGCCTGCTTCTAATGAAGTCCAGCCCAGATGACGCTACAGTAGGTCCTACACCTGACGCGCTGCTGGCAGATGTGGCAGTCGTAGGGTTTGAGATGGCTTGGGATATTGGCAATGTGATCACGCGACTTGCTGAACGTCCTTGCCGGCCTTCTTGCGCTTCCATGGACGTGAGAAGTGCGGCATCGCGACAAAGTCGATGAGTCGTGAAAGCTGATCAGATTTTATGAAATCATCAACGTAGCAGATTACTGCCGGCTACAATGGAGGGTAGGCATACAAGCTGGCTTTTTGTCGCCAAGCTCAAAAATTGGAGCGCTTCCATCTAAAGTGTGAGAAGAGGGGGCGGGACATCGGCAGAGGTTTTGCCCGGGGGGCACCCACCGTCAAGGCTGCGAGGCTGACAGGAAGGAATGGGAGGCTGGCGGAGCGCTTGTTCGGTAGCCTATTCGCAACAGTGGGACTGTGGGTTAGTGGGTCCATTATAAGGCCATAGCGGTGGTGGCTGTTTAATCAGCCGTTCCATCATTATGCGATATACATGCGATATACGATATACGATAGTAGGGAGATAGATAGATATGGCGAGTACTATTTATATAGCTACTATATTAGTAATTAGCTCTTCATTTAAATTATTCTCTTTTAGAGTTATATTATTCTTCTTCTTTTTATAATAAATCTATATATATTAATCTTTATTTAACTATTATAAGTACTATTTAACTATTAAAAATATACTCTATACTCTTATATACTTTATAATAGCTTTTACTACTATTATTAGATTTAAAAAAATAGTTAAACGAGCTATATTCGCCTTTAAAGTTATTAAAAAGATCTTTAACGCGACTAATAAGACTTTTAAGACTAAAAAGACTATTAAGACTAAAATATTTTCCTCTCGCGAGAAGATTCTTATACGCGAAACGCTATTAAGAATTATTAGTTTGAACGAGATCGAGAAAATATCTTTATCTATTATTAAAGTAGATCTTTAAAAGTTAATAATTTAATTATCTAAGATCTAAGAGAAGCGAAATAATCGCTATTTTTACGAGAATCGAGTTTATAAACTATATTATTATTATTAGTATATATAATAGAATAAGATAGAGCTAAGCTTGAAAATCTTAAATTTATATATATAATCAATTATAAATTCGAATTCGCTACGCTCTTTAATTAGACCGACTAAATTAGCCCGATAGCTCTTTCGAGCTTTCTTATTAAAAATTTATATATAGAAGTTTTACACTTTAAAGTACTTAGCTTACGATATATATAGTTACTTTATAATTTCTTAAATTATAAAGCTCGCTTTATACTTTCTAACGCTGTAAAAAATATGAAATTTAATCTATTATTAGTAAATTAAATAGATATTTAAATATAATAGTTATAATAGTTATATTAGACGCGTTCGAGATTAAATAATAATCCTTCCACCTATTTATATAACTATTCTTCTTTTATTATTCTATTAATTCTATTAATTCTATTAATATAAATACATTTACCCTCGGTAATATATTTACTCTCGATATCCTCGCACTTAGTTAAATAAGAGGAGAATCTATAATAGACGAATACGAAGAATATTACGAAGAAACTAAGCGGTAATAAGGCTATCATCATTAAGAACACGGCTTAGCTCTTCAAGATCCTACGTTATATTAGTTATTTACTTAATTAATTACTTAACTAGCTACTTAATCTAATACTCTATAAAAAAAGAAGTAAGAGAAGAAACTATAATAGGTAAATGCGAAGAATATTATAAAGAAACTAAGCGATAATAAAGCTATTATCGTTAAGAATACGGCTTAGCTCTCTAAGATCTTATATTATATTAATTATTTACTTAATTAATTACTTAGCTAGCTACTTAATCTAATACTTTATAAGAGAAGAAGTAAGAGAAGAAACTATAATAGATAAATACGAAGAATATTACGAAGAAATTAAGCGGCGATAAAATTACTATTATTAAGAATATAACTTAACTCTTTAAGATCTTATATTATATTAATTATTTACTTAATTAATTACTTAGCTAATTACTTAATTTAATACTCTATAAGAGAAGAAGTAAGAGAAGAAACTATAATAGATAAATGTGAAGAATACTACGGAGAAACTAAGTAATAATAAGATTATTATCGTTAAGAATACAGCTTAGCTCTTTAAGATCTTATATTATATTAATTATTTACTTAATTAGCTATTTAGCTAGCTACTTAGTCTAATACTCTATAAGAGAAGAAGTAAAAGAAGAAACTATAATAAGTAAATATAAAGAATACTACGAAGAAACTAAGCGGTAATAAGATTATTATTATTAAAAATACAGCTTAACTCTCTAAGATCCCATATTATATACTCTCTACGATTTTATATTAAATTATTATTTAGTAAATAAAGAATATTATTATAACTTAGTTTATTATCTCTATTATATTAATATAGTATATTATTATAATAATATTATAAGAGAAGAATTTACTATAACGATTATAGTTAATTAAGTCTCTATAGAAGAAATATCGAATAATATATATTTAGATAAATTAAAATTATTCGATATCTTACTCTAATAGCTATTTTATTATTCGAAAGATTTTATTACAATAAAAGATAATATAAGATTTATATTACTAATTAATATATTATCTTTATTTCTTTTTAATATTTCGATACTTCTTATTATAAGAATATAATCTTTCTCTATTTTTTATAGATAATTATTATAGATTAATTCTTTATATTTAATATACCTTTTTAATTAAATCTTAGCGCGCCTCTTTTCGTATATATATATTTATATATAGATTAAAAACGTATAGTAAGCGATTAGAGTTCGATTTAACTTAGGGCTAAGGCTAAAATTCGATTTAACTTAGAAAAATCTAACTTCATAAATTTAATTCATAGGCCTTTATTTATTTACTATAACTATTTATTATCTATAAATTTAACTTTATTCTTACTTATTATCTTATCTTTATTATTATATATATTTAAAATAATTAAAATAACTCTAAAATCTAGAAAGCGAATAATTAGAGTTATAGAGATCTTCTTATATTTAGAAAGATTTATATAAATAATAATAAGTTAAATACTAATATATCTAGCCTTAATAAATCTATTATAATTAAAGAAAATAAAATTTATAAGAGTTTTAATAGAGATAATTATATTCGCGAGCGCTATATTTATATATATATTTATATAATTTATTAATAAAATTATTTAATAGATAGATATTTTAAAATTTAAAACTTAGCTATAAATAGCTTTAATTAATTACTATTAAATAATTATATTTCTAAAATAAAATAATTTTTAGAGTATTTATAGATACTCTAATCGCTATAGTATATATCTAAAAGATTTCTATACGCGCTATATAATCTACTAAACTCGAATTTATCTTATTAAGAATCGTTAATAATTAATAATTAGTTTAAATAATTAAACGATTATCTAAATCTAATATTTATTAAAATTATTTTAACTATTCTTCGAAAAGATATTAAGATAGATTTTCGAGGCTATATTTTAATTTATTATAATTAAAATTATTTATTAATATATTAAGTATCTTAAATATTATTAATAAATCT